TATATTATTGATTAATAAAAGAATTGATAATTATTAACATATAAAAAATATAAATATATATATAATATACATCACATAAATATCACTTTCTCAAATTTCTTTTAACTTATTACATTGTAGGAACTTCTTAAACATTTTTACCATAGTACAAAAGAGTTGGTTCAGCATTATTTATAAGATTTTTTACATAATCTTATAATTATTCTTTAGTAACATTTTAGATTAAACTCTCATAAAGTGGTACAGCATTTTATCCCATTAAAAATGTCTTACATAATTTAATTAATTTACTGTTTTAATTTATTCTTCTAATCGATCTGCTTATCTCTCCAAATTCAAATTAATTAAAGTGATTGCTATGTTTTTCCCTCTCAAAAATTCCTCATCACTCATAGGTTAACCCAATTTTCGAAATTCATCAATTAAACATGAATATAATTCTTATTTGGAAGTAGGAGGTCCTTACACTCTCAATCCTAATATTCCAGCATCAGAAAAAACTTAAGAAACTCCTGAAGCCTCTTCCACAGATTGTATTGATTACATTAAATTAAGAGTTGTTCTAGATCTCATTCCTTTACCAGGACCACCAGTTGACCAGGAACCTATAAAATACTACAAATACTTGAAGATCCTAAAATTTAATTTAAGATATATTATGTAGGCATATTTATATCACTCCATTTATTTCCTTTAAATAGTAATGCTATGTCAATAGAATCATTTTAATCATCATTTATGGCACAGATTTGGGAAATGAACTCTGGAGATGTTTATTTTCTTAATTACCTTTAGAAAACTACCAGTTATTGTATTATTATTACATTATTGATGATTTACTAATTTTTTTTCAATATATTCTCTAAATTGTTCATGACTCCAAACTCCTGCATAGCCAATTATCATATTTTAACTTGTAAGCATTTATTCTTAAAATCTTGAAAAATCCTCCTATTTAGGTAATATTTATGCAGATGTTTTAGCATTTGCTAATGGATGTGTACCAAATGCAGCCTTTTTTATAGCTTCATCTATAGTCATCTAAATTATTTGTTAGATAATACTCTTTCTTAAGGAATACTCATTTTATTAAATTAATCTCTTGTTTCTTTTGCAATTCTTTTGGTTGTCAAAGCAAGTTTTAATAAGACATCTACAATCATATCAAAATCTTCCTATATGAATTAACACTTCCAATATGATAATTCTGAATCATAAGTTTAATCTAACATACAGCCTGTTCGAAGAGTTTATTCACTAAATAGCTTATAATTTTACAAATTTTCAAGACAATCATTTTCAGAAATATGATACATATGTTAATTAAGACTGAATAATGATCCAGTTTCTGAGGGTAATTCATTTCTTAATCCAGCCTTAAAACAAATTCCAATATCAGAGGCAAATGGAAAAGCAGTTTATTCAGTAAATATTTTTATTCCAGAAGGTAATTCGCTAATCTTTATTAAAGGTTGTTTATCTTTGATGAATTTCATGGATTTTACAGTTGAAAATCCTCTTAGAATTTTATTCATAAATAAATTTGTTTATTATTGTATTATTATAATATTGTTCATTATGTTAATGCTAATGCTACTTTTGTTTTTTGATGACCATCTAATTATTCATTTAATGTATTGACTTATTATCTTAAAGCTTCAATTTCGGCAAATGAAACTACTAATAAGAAACTATATTCATCTATCTTATATTGAAGACTGTTTAATTTTGAATATTCAAATTTCCATTTTCCTAAATCCTAAATATAAATAAATATATTACTTTTTCTAATTCAATAATTTTTTAATCTGCCTCATTTAAATCTGCTGTTAAATTATCTACTTAAATTGTTAATTCATTAGATTTATCTTCTAATTTCTTTGCTTTGTATTCATGTCTTTTAACTTCGCTACTCAAAAGTGCCATTTTATCTTCATATTTATACTAATATTTTATAGATAATAAATTACTTTAATATCTTCAAGTTCAGCAATCTTACTTTCTAATTAAGTTAATTTTTATTTAAATTAATCTATAATTTCATCTTTTGATTATTATTCAGTTTGTAATTTCTTTATTTAATTTTGTAAATCTTCTTAATTTACTAATAAACCTTCTATTTCAGCAACTTATTATTTTAGATGAGTAATCTCATTTAATTTATCTTAATTATCATCAATTTATTATTGTAATTAGTTTTAAAGTGAACCTAATTAAGTTTTTAATTCATTAATGTCTTCTAATTAATTATGTAAATCATTCATTTCTTAATCTAATTTTATCAATTCTTAATTCTATTCATCAATTTCACCTTACTTTTTTTTATTTAAAACTTTAAGTCTTTCTATTTCAGATGAAAGCATAGCTAATTTATTTTCCATCTATTCTTTAATCAATTATAATTGTTAATATGACTAATCTAATTATTCATGTTTTTATTTCCATAATTTTAATTCTTTTTCAAGTTCTGTAATTCTATCTTTCAAACTTTCAATCTCTAATTCTAAAGCTTACATTTCTGCTAATTAACCTTCTAATTCTTAAATTCTTTTTTTAAGATCATCAACATTTTCCATCTTTTCTAATTTATATTTCATTCCTTCTATATGTGTTGATAACATTGCACACTTACTTTATAAATCATACTTCTCAGATTCAGTTTATTAAATTCTTTATTCTAATTCTTATCTTCCATTTGCCTCATTTTATAGTTAAGACTATAATACAGTATTAGATTCATGCAATTCTTTGATTTATACTTTTAATGAATCTAATTCTAATAATTCTTGTTATAAATTTTGATTTTATTATTAATGATTAAGAACTTCTTAATTCTTTTATTAAATAGTTTAATTTAATCTTTAATTTTCTTATTTAAGAAGTGTTAATCTATTTTATAAATCTAAAGTTGGATCTTCTTCATTTGCTAAATTTGATTCTGAAACCTTTTTGTAACTTTGTTATAATGTACTAAGCTATTATTATAATTCTGCAATAACAGATTCTGAATTAGATTATTTATGAACAATATTTAATGCTTTTTATTCTTCTAATTATCTTTTCAATTCTGCTATAGTAGTATTTGTTTAATGTGATTAACCTCTAAGTTTTTCTAATTCATCTTAATAATTTTAATTCACTTATTGTTATGCATCATATTTATTTTACAATTAACTTAATTTTTCTTTCAAAACATTTAACTCAGATAATTATACTTCTGCATTTTTCAGTTATTCTGTTTTTTAATCATTTAAATATCTCAATCTTTATGATTCAGCACTTAACATTGCTACCTTATTTTCTAAATCATATATTTTATTATTAGCATCAGCTAATTTTTATTCAAGATTATTGATTTCTTATAATTTCTATTCTAATTCTTCAATGATTTTATCTTTTTATTCCAAATCTTTCAATAATTAATGATTTAAATTTTCTAATTAATCAATTTCTCTTAATTATTCTTATAAATTTTTCAAATCTTCTTATTATTCTAAAATCTTTTCATTTTTTTATTTAAGTTATACTTTCAATCTCTCTATTTCTGATGCTAACATACTAACTTTACTTTCTAATTATTATTTCTCTTATTCTAAAAGTTTAAATTTATCAATATCTTTTAATAATTAAGAATTCTCTTGAACTAATCTTTCATTTTCTCTATGAGATTCATCAATTTATTGTTATAATCTTTAATTTTCTTATTATAAAAGTTATAATGTTTTGATTTTTTGATTTAATTCAGTAATAGTCAATTCTGCATTATTTAAATCTATATCTTTTTACTATGATTATTATAATATTTATTATAATTCATTACTTTTATCAGATAATATTTTTTTAATCCTATCTAATTCTCCAATTAAACCTTAATGAAGTTTAAGCTATCCTTTAGTTTATTCAAGTTCAATTTACAATTTTTATTTATCATCATTTAATTAATGAATCTAAGTAGACAACTTATTTTATTCTTAAGTCAAAGTCTCAACTCTAGCAATTGATTCTTTTTGAGCAGATGTTAATTATTGATGTTGTAGATCCAGATTCTATCATAATAAGATTCTAAATTACATTATATTTAATTTTCCATTAATCTAATTATTTAAGAGCAGTAGCTAAATCAGTTTAGTATTTTTTTTATTGATTTTACCATTCTTATCTTTCTCTTTCAAATTGACTTTTTAATGATTAAACTTCTGCAGGATTAAATTCTGCAAGTTTAGATTTAAGATCATCAATTTCTTTTTATTTTTTGTTGTCATTTTCAAAATATTTTTACTTCCATGATTCAATCATTTATTCTTTTCCTTAATTTTGATTATGCATATCTTAAAGAGCTTATTAAAATGCTTCTAGCTCTTATAATTACTCTTGATATTCTTTACATTTTTACAATAGCTTTATAAATAATATTATTAGATACTTGACTAATTGTATCCTCTCTTTCAGCCACTAATTTCTTTAATCTTTCAACTTCAACTTATTAATTTAACAATTTTTAATTCTCAATAATCAATCTATTCATTTCAGATTTCTAATTATCTAAATCAGCTTATGCTTTAGTAATATCAATCTAAAACTTTTTAACATCTTCCTATGAACCTAATATCCTAGATTATAATTCATCTTTCTAAAAATTATTCAAAATTAATTACGATTTCATTATCTATCTCATATTTAGCTAATTAAGCTTCTAATGAAAAACACTTTTTCTTCCACTATTCTAATTCATCTCTTGCACTATCATCAATCTCTTTATCATTATTATATGATCCTGCATTCTTTTCTTTTACTATCACAGTAGTAGGTAAATTTTATGCAGCAGGTATAACATATGATCTCCCCATATTAATAACAGGAGGAATAACTATTATAAAATTTAGTCTACATACCTCTACTAGGTGATCTAACAGAAATTACCTATGAGGATTATGGTCTAAATGAAGACATTGTTAATTAATTAATTTTTATTTAGATATTTATTAATTCGATAAAGAGAATCAATTTACTTAAGCATTTTTATATTATTTAAGAGCATCCCTAACATCTTCACAATTTTCTTCGGCTATTTTTCTTAAAAAAACACTTAATTTAAGTAATTCCTTATCATCAGGGTCATTATACCAAGTCTTTATTTAAATCCCATTTTCTTCTTAATGTTGATAATTTGCTGCAATATTATCAATTATTATGCATTTAGCCATATTTCTACCTAATCTAGATAAGTCTTTTATAAAGTGTTTTTGATATTACATAGCATGTTATCGATATAATCTATATTAGATATATTTATTAAAAACAACTTAATCAAGAACCCAATTTGCATAATCTGGTAATCCAGCAGTGAATATAGCAATCTCATAATATTTACTCATTTCTTATAGAAATTACTCTGCATATGGTCTTACTAAAAAGTTCTTAGTTTATTCAACAAAATGAATTAAAGTTTCATCCATGTCTAATACAAGAGTGAAATCATGAGTAACTTCATTAGGAAGATAAGGTTTATGAGCTACACTTATTAATGGAATACCCAATAATCCATGATAACCTTATTAAATAGTAAAATATAGAGATATAAAATTTTAGAGCATTAAATTACTTTCTACTATCTTTAAATTAGGAATTAATCTAAAAAATGAATTTAAAAATTAATAAAGATCTTTAGATTACTTAGTTAATAACTTATATAACCCTTATAGTAATTCAAGATTTTATCTAATTTATGTATTTGATTCTATTTTTTTACTACCAAAATACTTTTTATTTTGCATAATTATTGTAGCTAATTCTTATTTTTATGTTTTCTAAATAATATATTCTCCTAAAAATAAATAATTTTATAAATTATAGATAAGTAAATTCCTAAAATTTACATTATTTGTCTAAAAGACATGTTAATCAAAAAAGCTATTTACAACAACAATTATCTAAAATTTATAATATTATTTTTAATTACTCCTAATTTTATTAATAATAAAATTTATCTAAATTTCTTGCTATTTTCAGTCAAAAGGTTCTCTAATGCTTAAAAATGAACTCCATCAATTACTTCCTAAAATCTATTAATTGAATCTACTAATTCACTCACATCCTTGACTTTTAAAAATAAAATAATATTACTTTCCTCATTGCATCCATCAAATTGATAATAGAATAGTAAAGCTTAACATATGAATCTAAATTATCTTCTAATGTTTCTTCTATCTCTAATTTTAAATGTGTTGATTTTTTAATTGTTGATAATGATCGATTATTATCTTCTTTTGGTTTCAAATCAATCTAAGTTTATGATTATCTAGTTTCACTTTAAGGAGGGGATTCTTCCTTTTATATAGGATTCAATTTGCTTTATTTTATATTAATAACAAAGTTTTTTTCAGAATTGACTACTTTAACCCTAATCTTTTTGATCTCAAAATTCTTTTTTGATGGTTTTCTAACAGGTTTAAACTTAATGATAGGAAGTTATTCTGTTTCTTCAGGATCTTAATTATTTTTTAAAGGAGAAATGTCACGATTGACAATAATTTATTATGTTGGTTTATTTTTTCTCATTTATTATTTTATATTAAAATATATATCAGTACCCAGAATTGCATCTTTTCTTTGTTTACTAATTCATTTAACTTAAATTTTGCATAGAAACATTGTATTTATGTTTAATAAGTTATTGTTCTTTCTTACCTTAAATAATAAATTATTTTAGTTTTTAAAAATTGTTTTCTAAAACAATTTAAGATTTAATCAATAGTTCATTAGTACTTTCTAATTCATTGACATATCTATTCATATCTTCTAACTTACTTTCTAAAGCTTTATTTAATAGCAATTCATCTTATAATTTTGTCTTGCACTAATTTAATTCTTTTTAAAGTGTTTTATTTTAATCAGCTAGAGATGTAAGTTGAATTAATAATTTATTAGGATTTATGTAATATCCATTTTTATTTTATGGAGTTTGTGATTTATTTGATTAATAATATTTCTAGTCCATTTATAAAACTTTGTCCAATTAAATTTATTATTCTTCTTACTCTAATTATTTTTCAACTGTTAACTATTATATTTTTTAAGCTTTTCCAAGATTTAATTTTGGAATCATAATTTAATGATTTTGAGTAGTAGAAATCTAAGCAGGTAATATATCAGCAAAACTAGATTCATTTAATTATGGACTTTATTCATTTAATTATTTATTATTATCTTCTATTTTATCATTCTTTACTATATCAATTATCATTGACAATTTCTTATTTTCTTACTTTTATAATCTATTTTCTTCATAGTATTTTATGAGCATTTTATACATTGCTTCCATTTAGTTTTAAAAGGTCAAATATTCATTCTATATTGATATTGGCTTTTATATGTATAAATTAATACAATTTTGGTTCTCATTCTTTTTTTTTAAAGCAAACTTTATAATTATTCATTTAATTCAATTATTTGATTATCTTTAACTAGAAGCTAATTCTATAGGTCAATCAACTTTATTTATTTCTCACTTTGAATATCCAATATTCTTTAAGAATTTTCTATTCCTATTTATTACAAAAGTAAATTCTAACAATCATAAAATCAAAAAACCTATGCTCTCAAATCATCTCTTTATTTTATTAGGTCTTCATTAAAAGAAAACAATTTACAATTTTCTTCTATTAATTGAGAGAGCATAATTTGAATATCATTACTTTCATAAGTCTCAGTTTTACAAACTTCCAAAGTAATTAAAGGACCACTTGGCAAAGTCTAATTTAATTTTTATAGTTATTACATTAGTACTTGTTTGTCCTCTATATATTTTAAGAATCTCTTTATTCATCTAAATTAGTTATCTTAATTCCTTATTCTCTTCAGTCAGTATTTTGATTTCTTATTACAAAAAATTCAATTTAGTATCGAAACTACTCATAAAAATAATTAATAAAAGAAACATCCTAGTAAATACATTTACAATTCAAATTATTTGTGCAGAACTAATACTTTTTATAAAGTTTCTATATAGGATAAAGTAAATAATATAATGATATCTATATATATATACTACATTAATAATTAGAAGGAACTCTGATATATATATTTATATAGATATGATATACAAAAATTTAAAATTGTTCTTGATCAATCAATAATCAGTAATGTTGTGTAACTTAATTATTTATTTATATGATTACATTAATATTTTATAAGTTTTGTAATGGAAACTCAAGAAAAATACTTTTACTATACTTGGAGAGATAAACCAAAATAATCCTAATTATGTTCAAATGATAAAAAAGTTAATGTAAATTAATTTATTTTTATTTAGGTTTTATGTCATTTTAGTGAATCACTTTTACAATCTAAATAAACTTAATCAGATCAAAAACACTTTGCTTTTTGGCAATTGAAAAGGAAAAATAGTATAGTTGAGTAAAACTCTTAATCTTAGATGAATTCAACTAGAATTTAGACAAGAAGAAATTCTGTTGTTGCTGGATGTGAATCTTAAATTAAGACAGAAAGAAAAACTCATTAAACAAATAAAAGTTAAATTTAGAATGAATTAACAAATAAAAAGAAATTTAGAGAAGATTATATTGATGAATAGTCAAGAAGAAGATTAAGTAGATTTTTATCAAATTATGAGATCTGTAATTTAATTCATAAAAGAAGTTTATCAAGATAAGACAATTAAATTTATGCTGAAGATATAGATAAAGAAATGATTACAGCTTAAATTAAATCTATTCAAAACTAATAAATTCGTTTTCAATTTCATTAATCAAATAAATAAATTATACCAGAAAAGAAATATGATAATCAAATAAATGATATGATTAATATGAAATAATCAACTTTTAAGTCTGTTTTTTAATAAATTTAACATCTTACAAATGAATAAAGAAAAAAAAGAGTACCTATTACATGTCATAAAATGCTTAAATCAAGAACTAAATTAATTAATTGTTCTATTAAAATAAGAGAGAGATTTCATAATATATTAAAGTAAGTATTATTTGTAGCCAAATATAAGTGTCGTATTAATTTCTGGTTTGATTATCCAATCAAATATAATAATTAATTCTATGAATAAATAATTGAAGGCAATTATGATAACATCATTTTGACTTTATCAGAAAATCCACATCTAATTCATAGCAGAAATAAAGATGGATAAACTCCATTACATATTGCTTGTATTTGTAATAATGCACTATTGGTTAAATTATTTATTAAAAATTGCAGTAATATTGAAGCATTAGATAATAAATAATTATCACCTTTATATTATGCATTCAAATCTAATTCAAATGATTGTTTTAAAGTAAATTTATACTTTATTTTTATTTTAGATTTTACTTAACTCTAAAGCTAAACCATGGTCACCACCTGGAGGAAAATTAGATCAATATTAAATGAATGTTGTACAAAAAAATTTGTTAATGCATGCTCGTTTAATTTATATATTTACTATTTGGAAAATAAAAAAATGATTATTTATTAAAAATGAATTTTATTAAGGGTATATTCAATAAAGTTGTAGGAACATAATAACCATTAGTAGATTAAGAGATATTTGATTTTGTAATCTTAGGAACACTCTTTAAATAGGATGAAGCTAAATATACTAAATTGTAAGTATTTTTATTAAATGCTTAGATCATCTAATACAGAATTTGTATTTGATAAATTAACAAATGATGAGTTTGATCATATTTTGATTGTTCGATTACAGAGAGCCTCTAAATCATATAATAATGCTGTTAGTTCAAAAGAAGGAGACTTTTATTTTAATATTTCTTTTTTTAAATCAATTTACCATTCAGCATTAAGTGATGAAGTGGAAGAGTTCAGTATAGATTTAATGTATAATTTTAATCTTTAATTTAGAGATATATAAGGTATTAAATGGAGTTTAAGGATGCATTTTTTAAAGAATACAAAGTCAGACAATTTAAAAATTTAAAATTTTAAATTGTTTTTAAGTAAATTAATTTGGATTTAGAGGAACAAAAAGGCACTTCCAAAAAATTTGAATGAATTAAATGATGTAATTCCTGCAAAATAATCTTCTAAATTGGAAATGCATAATTTAGTTTAATAGAAATAGATGAAGAAAACTTTAAAGAAAGTAGATAGATCAATTTTATCATAATCTACAACTAGAAATAGATAAGAGAAAGAAATTGTAGGAGATGTTATTAGTTATTTTTTACAATCAGATATTGATTCTATTAAATAAATATATGCTGGAAAATTATATGTCTTATATCCTGAATTAGCAGAAATTAGACTTATTAATCCATTAGTTGTTATGGCATTAAATATTATATCTAAAACTGAATGTAGAATGGAATTATATAATTAAGATAGACAATTATTATTAATTTAGTCATTAAAAGAATTTATTAGTTTTGAAGTAGATAAAGATGAGAATTATTTAAGTTGGGTTTATTTTGATGGATATAATTCAATTGTAATATATTTCAAATTTGATGTTTTGGATGGAGCAACATCAATGGCCTTTATATTATAAAGATCAAGAATAAATATGAAAAACAAAAAGAATTTATAATTAGATTCATCATCTTCATCTATTTAATTCTCAACAGCAACTACAATTAATTTAAATGAGACATAAGTTTAATAAATTTAATAAAAAAAATAGAAAAAATATATATATAAAGATGATTTACATACAATAAAAGAAGGTTTGAAAACAACAAAAACTAAATCAATTATTAATTATGAAAATGATAATCTAATAATTTTAGAAGATAGAAATATTACATTTATTAAAAATAATAAATTCTTTTAGATTGATTAATAAATTAAATTTGATAAAACATGTCTAGGTAATAATTCATAAAAATTAATCCTTTATTAATAATTTTCATAAGAATTACATTTAATTAATTTAGGAACTGAAACCTAAGAAATTGTTAAATTAAATTTTTAGATAGCAGATGTTTGTTCTTATGAAAAATAATTCATATTGTTAAATAATTCATCAGTATATATTTTAAATGAAGACAAAACAATTTAAAAAAGTAAATAATAAAAATTAATAGAGTAGTTAATTAAATTGATTAAAACTTAAAGGATCATTATATAATTATAAGAAGTTCAATAAATGGATCTATTGTAATTGGAACTTAATAAGGGATAGTGCTTGTATTTGATAATATTAAAACAATGAAATAAATCAATAGTTTTGAAGGATTAGGAGATCCCATTAAAGATATTGTATTAAGTGCAGATGAAAAGTAAAATATAATTTTTATAATAGATTTATTATTATTAACAATTCTCAATATATTTAGTTTTAATAAATAATAACAAATCACCAGAATGGTTATTAATAGCATTTAGATTTAAAACCATTTCCAATTAGAGTTTAATTAAATCCAGAAGATTTGATTTTAATGGGAATATTTAACTATCCAAACTTTTAGCATGTCAGAATTGATAAAAATAATAAAGTTATTGTAGCTTAACTAGAAAATTTGTAAGTGATTTGGAATATTGAATAGATAATTAATCAATCACATAATTCATATCAAGTAATAATTAAATGATAAATTTAGATATTCATTCTACCAGAAGAAATATTTGATTAGTAATTTAAAGATCAAGATTTACTAATTCTTTCAGAATCAAATTTATATACAAGAGAATGTGATTGATATATTTTTTAAATTAGAAATTATTAACTATTATCATTAATAATAATACTTAGAATAAATAAATTAATAACATCAGTCTGTAAAGAAATCATTTAAAACTTAATCCAAATTTTAATAATGTTTTTTAACATCCTCTTCTACTCTTTTGAGAATTTCTTTTTTATTTTCTACTTATTATTATTATTAACTTTTTGGTTATTATTATTATTATTATTATTATTATTAAGACTATTATTAAGACTATTCTAATTTTTATGGTGGCAATTATATTTCAATTTTTCTTTTATCACTTGTATCCTCATTTAAATAAGAAGGTAAGTTTAATCCTGGCAAATGCATTCCAACCAAATGTGACAAAGATCCTATGGGAAGTTTTTACATTTCCAAAGAAGGAGCAACATTTTCCTCCTCTTAAACAAAACTTTCTTTAAATTCTATATTTTTTGATAAAGTTCTATAAAGATCTCGAACCAAAAGACTTGAGTCAAATTTAGCCAAAGTCATAATATATTAATTTAACAATTCAATATGTTAGTCTTAATGAATTGCTAATAATTAATGGCTGAGCAACAAAATCTATTAAAATTAAATATTAATTTACTTCATATTTAACATTTTCATGTTATTAAGAAAAAGTTAATGATAGTTTTCTTAAGCTTTCAGCAACAATTGTTGGTATTTATCCTATTTCTAATCTAAGTAATTTAATAACTGTGGCTTTATATCTGATATCGCTTATATTTTCAATATTCTAAAGACAAATAGCTAAAAGAGGTAATTTACTTTCTTAAGTACTAATTAAATTACAAAAAGATGCTATAACATGATTTTTAGTGTCAGAACTACCAGTTTTTAAAATATCCAAAAGTGATTTAATAGTTCTTTTAATAAATTTTGGAAATTTGATCGTAGTTTTAGATAATAATTTGACAGCCACTGCTACTAGTTAAGGTTAATTAGATCTGGCTTAATATAACAATTCTTCTAGAATGTTATTAAAATTATTTTCATCTATCAATAAGGATAGAATTTCTAATTTAAGTAATTTACAATATAGTTTTTCTATTTATAAAATTGTAAGTGCTCTATAATGTTCTTTCAAATATTGTGAATATGAGAGAGCAAATTAATGTAGCATCTGGAGTATTATAAATTTGGATTCAGATCCTATATTTAAAAATTTGACAACAGTTCTGATAAGTTTCTTAATTCTTGTTTCTTAGGGGAACTAAAGATAAATTTTAGATATTGATAAAACTATGTTTGGATAAGGTAATCTTAGAAGGATTTCACAAGCATCTAATAATTTGATTAGATCTTTATCCCCTTCTTTGAAATACATCACACTATATTAATATAATAATTGAAGAGCTCTTTCCAAATCAAAATTATTAAAATTTAGTAAGTCTTTGATAAGTTAAAAATAATATTTGTGTAATATTGAGAGATCTCCAGTAATTTTGAAAATCACATATAAAGCATATAATCTAGTTTGATGAGTGTCTTTAAGCAGAAAATTAATAATATCATTATAATCATCTGGTTAAACATCATCACTACACATATCATGCATTTTGAGAATTGATAACGCAACACTTCTTCTTACTAATGGATTTTTATCAGATTAAATCTTTCTTATTGCTGTAAATAACATTGGTGTAAGTTCTTAAATTCTCAAACTTGATAATGTTTTCAGAGCATTTAATTTTATTGAAGTATTTTAATTAGTTAAATCTTTAAAAATTGGAGCAGTAGCCAAAATAAGAACATCTCCTTGAGATTTACTTGTTCTTGCATTTGGCTAAGCTGCAAATTCACTTATCAATATTTAACATAATTTCTTTAATTCAAGATCTTCTCTTGGAAGTAAATTAATTATTCTAGACATATAAAGAGTTAGATCTTTATTTTGTAAATATTACTATATTTATAGATGATATCGATACGCAATATAAAATTCTGATAGCTTCAACTAGATCTTCAGTATATTTAGAATTGATAAGTTCAGCCAATTTATTATTTTTGCTTGACTAGATCGAAAGTGTACCATTTCCAAATGCTTTGCCAATTTTATCTGGAAGCTCAAATAGCATAACACGTAAATAATATAATTTTTAATTTATCAAATAATAATTAATAATTACTTATTTACAAACTTCTTTGTTAAATTGAAAAAGGCATTTGGTTTATTCAAACTATATAAAATAGTTTATGAACTCATTCAATCTTACAATTAAAATTTTCATAAAAGTACATTTATTTTTTTTTTCTACTTTTTAAATTAGTATTAATTGACTAAAAGATTTATACTTATAAGTAGAGCAATAATATCATTTAATTGAAAATAAGATTTAATGTATTTTAATAATAAATAGATTACATTTTCAAATAAATTCAGTTTAATATTTTATAATTCTTTATCATCAAATATATAAGTTGTTTGTGTTTTATTAATCAAAGTATTCGTTGATAAAACTATTCATAAAAATCATTTTATTCAGACTCGAAATGAAATCATCTACTGAAAATATATTATTAATAAATATAAATTTAATCTTTTTTGATATGAAAATTCTTCAATCTTTCAAATTAACTCTAAATGCTTTATCTTAAATTGATTCTTAAAATTCATTAATAATAATTAAAGTAAATTAATTTAATTCAATTAATGAGTATTTTTTCCTTATATAATAATAAAGAACTTATGTAAAATTATTATTAAATTATAATGATAATTATTTATAACAATAATTACTCAATCAATCACTTTTTATTCATTGTCCCTCCATATTTTACTTTTCCTAATAAAAATTCACAAACAGCCACAGGAGCTTTTTCTTTCATCTCATCCAATGAAATCCATTTTTAATCTGTTTAATCTTCAAAACACACCAAAAAATCTACTCTTCCATTATCATGTCTAACTTGTTTCACTTAACATGGTTTACTCTTTCTAGGTTTATGAGGACCATTTCCTGTATTATTGTTAAGCACATTATCAACATCTTTTTATATTTATTATTGTTTTTGTTTTTCTGAATTTTTTTCTGGTGTCTTTTCAATTATTTTTTCAGTTTTATCAGCTTTTTCTAATTTATCAATTGATCTTTTTTCCCTTTTTTGTTCCTCTAATTTTTTCCCATTATTATTTTGATTTATNTTAATTATTCTAGACATATAAAGAGTTAGATCTTTATTTTGTAAATATTACTATATTTATAGATGATATCGATACGCAATATAAAATTCTGATAGCTTCAACTAGATCTTCAGTATATTTAGAATTGATAAGTTCAGCCAATTTATTATTTTTGCTTGACTAGATCGAAAGTGTACCATTTCCAAATGCTTTGCCAATTTTATCTGGAAGCTCAAATAGCATAACACGTAAATAATATAATTTTTAATTTATCAAATAATAATTAATAATTACTTATTTACAAACTTCTTTGTTAAATTGAAAAAGGCATTTGGTTTATTCAAACTATATAAAATAGTTTATGAACTCATTCAATCTTACAATTAAAATTTTCATAAAAGTACATTTATTTTTTTTTTCTACTTTTTAAATTAGTATTAATTGACTAAAAGATTTATACTTATAAGTAGAGCAATAATATCATTTAATTGAAAATAAGATTTAATGTATTTTAATAATAAATAGATTACATTTTCAAATAAATTCAGTTTAATATTTTATAATTCTTTATCATCAAATATATAAGTTGTTTGTGTTTTATTAATCAAAGTATTCGTTGATAAAACTATTCATAAAAATCATTTTATTCAGACTCGAAATGAAATCATCTACTGAAAATATATTATTAATAAATATAAATTTAATCTTTTTTGATATGAAAATTCTTCAATCTTTCAAATTAACTCTAAATGCTTTATCTTAAATTGATTCTTAAAATTCATTAATAATAATTAAAGTAAATTAATTTAATTCAATTAATGAGTATTTTTTCCTTATATAATAATAAAGAACTTATGTAAAATTATTATTAAATTATAATGATAATTATTTATAACAATAATTACTCAATCAATCACTTTTTATTCATTGTCCCTCCATATTTTACTTTTCCTAATAAAAATTCACAAACAGCCACAGGAGCTTTTTCTTTCATCTCATCCAATGAAATCCATTTTTAATCTGTTTAATCTTCAAAACACACCAAAAAATCTACTCTTCCATTATCATGTCTAACTTGTTTCACTTAACATGGTTTACTCTTTCTAGGTTTATGAGGACCATTTCCTGTATTATTGTTAAGCACATTATCAACATCTTTTTATATTTATTATTGTTTTTGTTTTTCTGAATTTTTTTCTGGTGTCTTTTCAATTATTTTTTCAGTTTTATCAGCTTTTTCTAATTTATCAATTGATCTTTTTTCCCTTTTTTGTTCCTCTAATTTTTTCCCATTATTATTTTGATTTATAATTTGTGTATCCTATTTTATATGTTTTTGAGGTTTAGGCTCTTGAGGGTCATGTCCTAATTATTTTAATTCATAATCATGGACTAGAACCAACATTTCAGGAGTTAACTGAGTCATTGGTTCAATTGATACTGAATTGTTACTCCATCTAAATTTATACATTATAGCTTCAGGATCGATCTTTTTCTTCAATAATTCAACAGGATGTTTTGAATTCATAATAGATAAATTAATTAATAAAAGAGCTCTGTATATGTTTATGTAGGACAATTATTGCAATGGTTTATCAAAATATTATATAACATTTATTGTTTAATTTTCATAAAAAATATACAAAATTTGGAATAATAATATTTTAATAATTTCTTTTTCATACTTCTTTAATCAGATTATTATATGTATATTTATAATAATCTTTAAAAATTGAATAATTTAAATATAAAATGGCAAATATACATAGAACAGGTGATAACAATGATGAGTAAAATAATTATCAGAATTTTAGAGGAAATGGAGGATAATGAATGATATCAATATTTGGTAATTAAATTCATTTAAAAATGTTAGGAGGCATTGATGAAGATCCAAGAGGTGAGAATTTTTTTGACATGTTGAAAAAATCATTCTGTCCAAAAATTAAACTTATTTCATTTACTACAATAATCTCAGTTTTGATTATTATTCTATATATCACAATGTTAGGAGTTGGAGGAGTCAATAAAAATGATAGATTTCTATCAGTATACAGGAAAACATTGAAAGATTTTGGTGGAAATGATCCAAATAATGTTAAATATAAATTTCAGACTTTCAGATGGATGACATCATTACTCTTATTTGGAGACTTTTTTAATCTAGTTCTTGCAATCTTTATGATATTAATTTTCTATTTAATATTAGAAGCCACATAAGGATCATTATTAACAATAATAGTGTTTTTTGGAGCAGGAGCATGCGGTGCTTTATTTGGAGATTTGTGCAATCTTTGCAAATATACAACTTATTCAGAAACATATGCTTGTGTAGGGTTCTGGATAGGAGTATATATTTTTATTATATATTAAATAGGAAGTAATTCTATATTGGTAGAAGTTAAATGCTTTGGGAGAAAAGAAATGTGCTGTTGTATGTTTTGTTGCCATAATAGTAATATTTGAAATTATATTCGCCTTTGCATTTGGACAAAATAATTTTTATGACAATTTGGGTGAATTGGGAGGTTTCTTAGGAGGACTATTCATTGCTATGAGTTTTGTTGATGTGCCTTAGAGTGGAGAATTTGAATCTATTTGAAGAAAGGTTGGATTTGGATTTCTGGGAGTCCAAGTTGGATTGAGTATAATTTTATTATATTCTTTGTCATGCAGCTGATCATATAATTATGAATAATTTACCATTTAATAAATGGACCTTAGGGTTCATTAATAAACAATATGAAGATCTTTATGAAGTGGAAATGAATAAATACAGACAATCATACTTTAGAATAATAGAAATAATCATTTTACTATTGTGCATCCTCTTCTTCATATTTAATTTGCTGGAAGAACGATAAATAATTGTAATGGTGATTTTAGCAGTTTCAAGCATAGCCATTTTCTTTGCATTAATTTATGGCTAAAGATTTGCATAGAAAGTTCGATACTATTACTTTTTAATGTATATGGCATCCTTAGCAATAAGCTTATATGTTGCATCTTAAACTATGTAAAAGTAATATGTAGTTCTAATTATATAAGATCCCCATTTCTTTATGGATATTCATCTGCCACTATTGCAATTATATAATTCCTATTTAGTCACTTTAAATTACGCTTATTTACTCTTTTAATTGTCCCAATAGTTTAACTTTATATTTTAGATGTACTTACTTTGGATGACTTTGGTTATATTATACTTGCTTTCATGACACAATTATTGATTCTGCTCTATTCTCATTATAATGAATTCATGTTTCGTTTAGCCTTTTCGTATATGATATATAATCTTAAATTGAAGTAAATTCTTATTATTATATTAAGAGACATTTCTTAAGAATATATTCCACATTCCTTTTTAGCACTTAGTCTTAATGTTAGAAATAACTAATTCTAATTGGAATTTCAAAATCAAATTAGCATTACAAACTTAAATGTAGAAGATTCGAAAACTTTAATTGAAATGATGAGAAATACTTATGTTGTACCTAAAGGTTAAATACCAACAAGTGTTGATTTATAAAATATTAATATTTAAAGATCTGGTGATTTATCTATGCGAAGATTAGCTAATAAAAAATAAACATTGGAAGAATTTTCATTTATAAGATTAAATAAAATTTATTAGTAGATCAATAATAACTAAAAGAAGAGACTGAAGAAATGGAAGGGGTATTTTACAATTAAGTTAAAGAAAAAAATGTTATTGTCAGTATTGATATCAAAACTCTTAATTATGGCAAGAATTATCTATTAATTGTTATTAAGGAAGAAAAATAACCTTAAATGATGTCAAAAAGCGAAGAATAAATTCGATTCCTAAATAAAATTATTTAATTTGCTTCTAATTAACTTTCAGCTTCACATTAACATTTATATAAAGAAATTATAGGATTAAAAATAAGTTCAATAGATAATGAAAAACTTTGGTAAATTAAATGCATTAATTTATCTATTATGAATCATTTTTAAAACTTTTACTTTTTTGTTAATTCCACTAAAATCAATAATTTTTTAGCAGCTTATAGTAAAATCAATTTAAAATATTTTCTTATTAACTTACAATAACATTTTTGTTATATGAGTATGAAATTGAAAAAGAAATTTAATTATGAATTAAATCTAGATGATTTTATGATTAAAGTCAATTCTAAATTCCTTTCATAAATAATTTTTAATATCTTTGAATAATGTCTCAAATAAGCTGATTCTAATTCTACTATTAATCTTTATGTAAAAAATGAATTGAATTTAAATCCCTTATAAAATTATGTTGTTGAAAAAAAATGTCTTTAAGAACTTGATTTTATTGAAAAAGTTGCTGAGGAATCATAAGAAAGTCCTACTAAAGTTGAATTTTAAAAACTTGTAAAATTTGAATTTACTTTTTTATCAAGTAAATAAGTAGAATTATAATCAGAGACTAATTTAATCTTAAATCCACAAACCTATGAAGATTTTCATTTCAATAACAATTAAGAATTTTAATTAAACCATCCTATAACAAATTTTTTACTAAAAAAGATTGGCCCATACAACTCTATTTAATATTCATAGAATATATATTGCGATCATTAATGTTAATAAGCTGTTATCGTATTCCCTTCGATGATGGATTTGATTTAATAACAAACTTTGTATTAAAATAAGATAAGCTTCTACATTTACACAGATTAAACTTAGTTGACACAATCATTCATTAAATATGCATAATAGAAGTCATTTTTATAACCTTGATATTTAATTTTATTATTTAAATTCTCAATCTTAAAATTATAAAATTTCATAATTTAAAACCACTATTTCCAGCTTTCATTTCTATTTCTTAAGAACCCTTGCGTTGTTATTTATTTTCAATGGCTCTCTTCTTTCTAAGGAATGTGGAAGGTCTTTTGAATTTACCCTAAAAAAATTATAAATTCATTAGTTTACCTATAGAGTTTCTGGATCAGCTTCAGGAGCAACTTATTCTTTAAATAATTCAATGGATTAGAAATATTGATCAGGAATTTATTTAATAAAGTATCCTACAGCCAAACTACACATTCCAATAATAATGCAAGCGACATGATGAGCAAAATCTAAAGGAGTAACCTTGACTGCTTTTCCACCAAATTAACTAATTAAATTTTATGATAATTATTTACACAATCAATATTTAAACAACTATTGTTCCAACAATAACACCTATGAAAAGATAGTTGTTAAAGAATCCATCAAATACATTCAATTCAGTTTTTTTCAATTTTCTAGCATTGATTTCATTAAAAACTTACAAGAATACAAAAATATGGAAAAATATTGTATAATGTTCTTGATAGACAGGGCTAAAATAAAATAAAATAAATAATTACTTATATTCTTCATCCAATCTATGTCCTCTACTTGATTCAATACCAAAAATTGAATCTCCTTTAAATAATATAATCAAAAGAACAAATAGTTAGAATGCTGCTTGACATATTATACTTCTCCACATTCCTGGTGTAATCATGTGTTCTTTTCTACCATATGGTTTACGTGTCAACAATTCATCAGTAGGAGGTTCAGTGGCCAATGCCAAAGAAGCTAATGTGTCCATAATAAGATTAACCCATAACATTTGAATACTAGTTAATGGAGATTCTTTTAAGAAGACTCCTCCCAAAAATGCCATAGAGACAGCAACAACATTGACAGTGACTTAAAACACAAGAAACTTTCTGATGCAATCGAATATATTTCTACCCCATTTCATTGCAGTAACAATTGAAGCAAAATTATCATCTAAAAGTATAATACCAGCTGCTTCTTTGGCAACTTCTGTTCCTTAAATTCCCATAGCAAATCCAACATCTGCCTTTTTTAATGCTGGTGCATCATTTGTACCATCTCCTGTAACTGCTACAACATTATCAAGTTATTTTAAGCCAGTAACTAATAAAAACTTGTCTTCTGGAGAAGATCTTGCTAAAACTTTTAATTCTTATGCAATAGTAGTGAAATTGCTTAAATTTTTTACTTTTGGTATCTCATTTCCTTCATCATCTTTTTCATATTCTAATCCTTCAACCATTTATCTAAATGTCTTTCCTTCCATAACTGCAAGTGAATCTTCATGATGTTCATAATTTGGTGGTAATATGCCAGCTTTCTTTGAAATGGCTACTGCAGTATCAAAATTATCTCCTGTTACCATTCTGACAGTTACACCTGCTTCTTTACATTATTAAACTGCTTTAATGATTCCTTCTTTTAATGGGTCTTATAATCCAGTAACTCCAATAATTGTATATGATTTATCTATTATATCTTCAACATTATTAAATTCTTCTGGTTTTGATGGTCTACCTTAAATCATTGTGTCTCTATACAACAATAAGATTGATCTTAATGATTAAGATGCATAATTCTTAATAACACTATTAATTTTTTGTTTATAATCATTGGTAATACTAAAATTTAAGAAATTATAAATACACAACAGCTCTTCCTTCAGCA